ATGTTTGGATAAGTGACAATGGGTATCTTAATGCAGGTGAGAGAATAGTGTTTCTTGTCTTGATCTTCTTCTTGATCTTGATGTGGGTGGGTGTGGGGGTGGGGTGTGGGGGTGGGGTGTGGGTGTGGGTGGGTGTGGGTGGGTGTGGGTGGGTGTGGGTGTGAGTGTGAGTGTGGATGTGCGCTAGGGATGCAACGGTAACGGTGGTCACCGGTGTGATCGGTCTACGGTTCATCGTTCACCGGTCTCACCGGTCCGCCGGTGCACCGTACCAACCGATGCCACCGGTCTATCGGTCACTGCAGTAGCGGTGCACCGTACCAACCGATGCCACCGGTCTATCGGTCACTGCAGTAGCGGTGCACCGTTCACTGTTCCACCGGTATACGAGCACCGTAAGTACCGGTGACAATGTACTCCAGATAAAGCTACTCAAGTTCAACTGAGTCTTATTAAAAATGAAGCTGACCATCTCCTAATCGAGAAATGCACATATATTTGGTATCCCTCTACTTTCTGCGATTTATGATCATAGTTCACAAATTTAATAAAAAGTTTCTATATACTGACCGCTCCTTCAATACGATGCGGGCCGTAGGCGTACGTCAGACAACATCAGGATGCTCATGTAGCTGATATTTGTTAGTGCAAGGCTATCTGAGTATGAAAGATGCTAACACAAAAAACTTAGGTATGCCGCGTGAACAAACACCTTTAAGGTCAACAATAGTTGCTAGAATGTCGGAAACCTACGGTGATCGCCGGTTTGTAACATTCTACCGACTCATCAAAGCTTAGGATAACCAGGAGTACGCTTTTAATGTCCATCATCGGAAGTTTTCTTAGCCCTATCGGTCCCATAACCGGCATGATTATCACATTCATCGATGAAGAAAATTTTCATCTACTATAGTGAGCAGATCTAAATTACATGTTTTTAAGCATTACCATTAATCCTAATGATGTTGGTTCGGAGAGCGGAGACCTACAGTGGCAGGCAGCTTCTAGTACTTCACGGACTCATTGAACACCAGAGCAACCAATAATGGCGATCTAGTCATCGTCACCGTATGATTTCGTGAATCTATCAGCCGTATAACTAGCTTCGTAGACAGTCTCCGGAAAAAACTCTCATATACTGTTTCGTCGTGTACTCAAATATATAGTTTTGTACATCATGATGCAAGTTTAAAATGCTGGTTAGAGAGCGGGAACCTACGGCGATGACCGGTTTGCCGCATTTGACAAGCTCATTGATGCTCAGGGTAGTCAGCAATGTCCTTACAACCATCATCACCGTAGGTACCTGTGACAATATCGGTCCTAAAACTGGCGTCACTATCATACTGATTTACGAAAAAAACTTTCATATGCAAGAATACATCGCTGTAAATTATATACTTTTAAGCGTCGCCATGTAGTCTCATAATGCCAGTTACTACAGCGAAGACCTACGGTGATAGACGGTTTCTAGCATTTACAGATTCATCGAGGCTCAGGGTAGTCAGCAGTGCTCATCTAGTCACCATCACCGTATATTTTCGTCACCCTATTGATTCTATTTTTAGCTTTGTAGTCATGCACATCTTGGAAAAGATTTTTCATCAGCAGTCTTGTCGTACACTCAGCTGGCTCTCTGTAAGTTTGCCAATTCGGGATTTCGCCAACAGTACACTCACCAGTGGCGAATTTTCCCACGACATTCGTCAATTGGCGAATCTCTAGTATGAAATTCGCCAAAAAATATTTATCTTTGCCGTAGTATGTTCGCCAATGTGCGAATGTCATGGAGAAGTTCGCCAATTTGGCGAATTCCCAGTGTGAAATTCGTCAATAAACTTTTGTTTCGTCATAGTGTATTCGACAATTCGCGAGTCGCTAGTGTGAAATTCGCCAATTTTAATCCGTAGAATTATGACTCAACTAAATTGATGATAGAATATTTAAGTATTACAGGATGTGGGTGCGCGTGTGGGCGTGAGTATGAGTATAGATCAAGTGCATATACAACATTCAGACCCACATCCACACCCACACCCTACGTTGATCACAGAGGTTGAAGCCATCGGTTACATTCCCAAAACGAGAACCTCACAATTAACCTTATTCTTTTATATTTAGGATAATTCAATGAGTGATTTTATTAGTAAGAAAACCAGTTGAAAATAAAGTAATTCGGTTTTCTTTCTTTTAGATAGTCGTAACTTCAAGTGCATCACTGGTATCGGTTTCTAAGATGCAAATCGTTTTCTCATACATAAAAGAACTCAAAGAAAAATCGTGTCTCTTTTGTGCCGTATCAAAGAATCATCAGAGTAAGTTAATAAATGATATCGTGTACATCAAGTAACAGTGATACAATTATAACGCCGGATTTATAAAAAGATTACTTAAATATTTATAGTCTTTTCCGAAGATTGCATCACGGAGTATAGACTATACGATGAATGATCTATACCCAAACTTATTTTGCTAATAAAGCTGTTTTCAGAGTAGAAGACAGTATCGAATAGAACGGTTCGGGTAACAGCAGACTGTAATGTAGTAAGTAACGGATACGGAACCCTTGAGTTGAAATATAGAAAATAGATTTTCACGAAACCTCATCTAAAAAACCATTTTTCTTATACTTGAAATATAAATCTGTACGAAACCCTGACTACGAAACCATTATTTGTGCAGTCGTAAAAATGGTTTCATGCAAAACCCTGATCATACGACACCAAAAAAGGGTTTCAATTTCGTTACAAAGTGGAAAACCCTTTTTTAGTTTCGTATAAAACCTTTTTTGTTTTCAGTGCACCCACACCCACACCCTAAAAGAAAACTAGACATCCGTTGCTGTACGACATCTACTAACGAGCAAAGGAAAAGAACATTGTGACAACCTGGTTGGATGTTTTAAACATACAAATCAGCGATATCGATCTTTCTAGTAAAAACGAGAGGTGAATCCGTCCGCTTTCCTGTTTTTATTTATCTAAAACGTACGACTAATATCAAATACGAAAACAGAATAGTAGTATGCCTCGAAAGAAAGAATTTCAGGGTTTTTTTGCTTTATTTTTTTCTGTAGCTTGAACATGGTTGTAGTATTTTATTATCTATATAATGTTTTGTCTCTTTTTTAGATAGATTTAATGGCGTCTGCATGACTTCGAATAATACAAAAGACGATGGAACAAGTAGTGTCGCGAGTACAATGAAAGTTTTCAAGTCTTTGACTAGGAAATCAAAGTGAAGATCTTTTTGTTTTGTTTTTAACTGATATATTTTTGTGTTAAATCCAGTATTAATTTATTAAAGAAAGACTAGCTCATAGTGTTCTTTACATACGATTAGAATTATAAAAAAAAAGATTATCATAAATATTTATCTCTTTCTAGAAAATAATAAAATATGTTAGGTTCTCGTCTTTTGACCAGGAGTCAACCTTTATTTCAACGAACTTTTGTAACTCAAGCAAATGTTGCTGTTACAAATGAAAATAAAACTGAACAAGGAGATAAAACAAGTGAATATCAATCATCGAGTAATTCATTTGATCCTCCACGACGACCATTAACTCAACAATTTACTCATCAAGTAACAAATCAAGTTCCACCACTTGAATATATTGATTTATATAAAAGTGATTTAACATTACGTGAATTTGTTACAAAGGAAAATAAAGGACAAATTAAAGATATGGGTGTTGAATTGGCTACTTTTCATTGGTTTGAACAAGGTCAAACAGCTAATCAACATTTGCCAGCATTACATCAATTTGATCGTTATGGACAACGTATTGATGAAGTTCATTTTCATCCTGCTTATCATGATCTTATGCAAATCGGAATGAGATATGGAGTAAGTTACAGAGACATAGATTTATAAAAAAAATTTGATTTAACTAATCTGACAGATTACTCCACTCAAGCCAACATAGTATAAATCCGGATGTCAATTCACTTCAGTATTATTAGACTCTTGACGATACTTAGCGATAAGAGATGATGATTAGTAGTATAATACGTTGTTGTAAACAATCAAATAGTTACTAAGCTCTTCAAAACTCGAATTTATTTACATTAATCATTATTGAATTCTAATTTCTATTTCATTAGGTCCATTCGGTTGCTTGGGAATCATTGCCAGGTTCTCAAACAAGTTTTAATCGACATGGACATTTGCAACATGCTGTACATAATCCATGAATAAAAATATTACATATATAACGTAAAAATTTTCTTTTCTTCCAGGCAGGATTGTATATTCTAACACAAGTTGAAGCAGGCGTTGGTTGTCCACTATCAGCGACTTATTCTGGTTATCCAGTTCTTCGTCGTTATTTTCATTGTACAAATAAAAAACTCACAGATAGTTTTCCATTAGACAGAATCTTATCTCGTAAATATGATCAACGATGTTTACCAGCCAATCTTAAATCAGGATTGACAATTGGTTAGATAAAAATTTTGTTTTCTATTTTTTATTACTCGAGAAATATGTGAATGTTTTCTTTTAGGAATGGCAATGACAGAAAAACAGGGTGGTAGTGATGTTCGAGCAAATACAACAAAAGCTTATTGTGATAATTCACATGAAAAACGTTATATTCTCATTGGTCATAAGTAGGAAAAATGAATATATAATTTTATCTTCTTTATTATCTATTAGATGGTTTTGTTCTATACCAATGAGTGATTGTTTTCTTGTACTCGCTCAAATACACAATGATGATAATCTTAATCAATCATCATCTAGTTGTGTACCATCTTGTTTTTTTGTTCCACGTTGGTTACCAAATGGTGAACGTAATCCATTCTATATTCAACGATTAAAAGATAAACTTGGTAATCGTTCAAATGCATCAAGTGAAATCGAATTTAATAATACTCAAGCTGTAAAATATTTATTTTTGTATTAAATAAAATCTCGGAGATTTTCTAGTGGTTATTGGGAAAAGAACATGATGGTGTTAAAGTCATTATTGAAATGATTCATGGTACGCGTTTGGATTGTGCAATTTCAAGTGCTGCATTAATGCGACAAGCTTTAGTCCAAGTACATATTTTTCTCTATAGATGAATTATTTAAAAATCTCTTTTTTTTTTGTCTTTATATATTAGGCAACTTGGCATGCACGTCATCGTAAAGCTTTTGGACGATTGTTAATCGATCAACCATTAATGAAACAAGTTTTAATTGATTTATTACTTGAATCTGAAGCAGCTACCGCACTTGTTATGTATCTTGCAACACTTTTTGATGCGACATATAATAATATTCATTCAAATAATGCCAGTGAGATAGGAGCATTAGCTCGTATAGCTACAGCAATAGCAAAATTTTGGATATGTAAACGGACACCAGAGACAACCTATGAAGCATTAGAATGTCTTGGTGGAGCTGGATATGTTGAAGAATCTATGATGCCACGTATATATCGTGAAGCTCCGCTTAATAGTATTTGGTAAATATTCAATTAATAAAACTCATACAATATCATTCTATGCCTATTTTCTTTTAAGGGAAGGTTGTGGAAATGTCATTTGTTTGGATATTTTACGTTCAATGAGAAAATCACCTGAATCTCTTCAAGCTTATTTATCATTTATGCATGAAACTAAAGGTTCAAATAAACATTTAGATGCTGCATTAGAACGTGTTGAAAAAACTTTATTAACAAAAGATCTTCCATCGAATCTGCTCGAACGTCATGCACGAACATTAGCTACACAATTAGCTTTATGTCTTCAAGCTGGTTTACTTGTTCGCCGTTTACCACAAACAGTCAGTAATGCATTCTGTTCATCACGTCTTGGACCTAATCGAGGTTCAATTTTCGGTGACTTACCTATGGATGTTGATACTGATGCGCTTTTAACAAGATTACCTTTCTGAATTTTTAATTATATTGTGTACTTAAAGATTCCTTATTTTTTTTGTAAATAAATAACACGTAATTGATTAGTTATAAATATACAGACCCTTTGCGAAAAATCTTGGAAATCTTGTTATACCAGTATTTTCCTATAAATATATCACCCTCAAATTGTTTCATGTATTGATTGATAGCCTACGATGAGGAATATCGGACACTATTTTTTTTCAATATTTTATTCATTCATCTTTAGAAGAAATAAGAGACAAACATCTTTTTTTTTCATAAATACCACACAATTTTTTTACAACATTAATTTCAACATTTTTGAATTCTTCAGCTAAAACAAACTCTAGTTCATGAATGTTTTTGAGTTTTCTTTTTTTATAAATTTTGTGTCTTACGATCGACCAAATTTTAGATATACGTTTAAATTCATCATTTCGATGTCTTGACCAACGATGAACAGTGTTGCGAAAATAGTTGAAACGAAAATTCATCTGTGAATATTGTACGTGTAGAATCATGATCAAGAAAAGGGAGCTCCAAATTTCGAGTTTACAAATGTCTAGTTTTCCACCGTAAATTCTACCTCAGAACTTTAACTCCCTGTTTCTGATTGCTCAAATACATATCTTGACCATGCTGAGTTCACTGGTGATGCTCAAGAAAAACAGTACGAGGGGTGCGCGAATACGGGTACAAAATGTATCGAGGAAAACAATGATCATTCAAAACATTCATACGCACCCTAGTGCCTCAGATACCAGCATCCACTGCGATACACATATTGTTGTATCAACACATATATCCCTAAAAGCTGTACAAATAAAGTGCTCATGTTCTCACATGTACTGGATTGTACCGGCATGTAGTGACATATGCATGTACTTCAAGAAAACCTAGAATTCAGAATTCATGTACTGTCTGCCATGTATTGGTATGTACTGGTATGTACTGACATATGCATGTACTCCGAAAAAACCTAGAATTTTAGAATTCATGTATTCGGAGGTACTCGTGTAATAGCATATATCCCTTTTCGAGCGCCCAAAGTGAGAGAGATGTGCTGTGTATCGGTTTCCGAATGTGTCCGTATTTCCGAGCATCCTCGGTGAAGATGATGTGCTGTGTGTGTGTCAGAATGTGTCCGTCTTCCCGAGCAGCCGTAGTGAGAGAGATGTGCTGTGTATGTTTCCGAATGTATCCGTCTTTTCGTGCACCCGTATTCAGAGAAGTACTGTATGTTTTTTCATCCTTCACATCAGCTATATGGGTATCATGGTAAGGAATTTGTCATGAAGCCATTGTCAGTTTGACTCCTGAAGATTCAATGTTTTTCTGAAAACCATTTTGTTTTTGGAAGTATTTACGGTTTCTGAGAGTCATTAGACATGCTAGAAATTCGTTTGCGCTTCCGAAAATTCATTTTTGTTTCCGTGAATTTATCTTCATTTCCGGAAAGTCATTTTGGTTTCCAGGGCACCCATTTGATTTCCGAATCTTGATGATTTCCTGGAAATTTATATAGAATATAACATGGCCGAGGGTGGGTGTGGGTGTAGAGGTAAATAAGAATAACTCCCACATTCAACTCACGCCCACACCCACACCCTTCTCTATATTTGTCTTCGATTAAATTTTATTCAAATATATCAATCGATCGTTTGTAAATATTTAAAAACTAAAAGAATTATCTAAAGGCTTTTAGATCTGAAATGATTGTATTTCTTTTATCGATTCTAAATTGAAATTCGATTATAATCAATTTTTCATCGACAACTTAGCAAGAATTTATCTGTTTTATTTTTGTATTCATTCTATGAACATTCGAATGAAACACAACTCAACAAAATATATAGTTCGTCTATCATCGATTGAAATCACTTGTAAAAATAAATGTAATAAGCAATGTGTAAATCTCCTTCTTTGAAATAGACAATTGTAATGATTCAAATATTTTAAATTCTTCTTGAAAAGTTGAAGTTATTCTTTATATGTTCATCATTTAAGCTGAATTTTCAGTATTTTAATCTTTAATATATATTTTATTGATTAAAATGATGTCATTGCTAAAATTATTTTCAGACGAATGAAAATTTTCGAGAGTAACTCGCACTTTAGTATTGATGAGACTTTTGAAAATAATTTCCATTTTCTGAATTCAAAGATGAATTTGTTTCTTTAATTTTTAGTTGAAATATTCTTAATTTGGAGTTAGTGATTCTAAATGAATTGAGTCCACATTCTTCTCGTTACTGAAAATGAAAATTTTATGATTGGACAAGTTAAGAAAGAAGAAAACTTATTGGAATAAATGTTTTTAAAAATGAAATTGAATATATCCTTAAAACATTTGAGTTCTTAAAATATGAAAAATCTCAAAACGAATAAAAAGTTGCTTTGATCTCTACGATCTGAAAATCAATTTTCGATCATTTTTCAGGATGTTGATGGGTCTACTTTTCAGGCATAACTACGTCCATCCACACATTCACACAGTCTTTTCAAAATATTTCAATAGTTGAATACAGATCAGAAAACTATCTTATGCATTCAGTACTCACATCTTAGATATAATTCTAGAACTACGTACTCTATTCACTTAAGGAAACGATATATTTTCAAGTTAAATAGAGTTAACTAACTGATATTCACTCGTATTGTTTAATAACTCATTCTTAATGAATAGTATTGATTTAGTAAAATAACTTTATCATTCATCGACAAAAAATCTAATTTCTCAATGATGTATGATGAAAATTTTTGTCTGTTGTTTGAATAGCTGATGAATGTGTTATATCTAAACTTCTCGTACTTATCATTTTAATGATGTTGTGGTTGAAAGTTTTTTTTGTTTCTACTCTTCTGTATCTATTATATCATTCGAAAAAGACTATAAAAAAGATTTTTTTATATTTTTATAGTACAATACGATATATCATCAAAGTTTCATCATTTGTGAATAATAAAGATATTTAATTTTATGTTTACATCAATAAAATATGGTGCTATTTTAAAAATCACATTGCCCCATGAAATTCTAAAAGATATTAGTATTCGAAATGCATGTCTTGGTTTCGTTTGCATCATGCATGTTTTTCTTTTCATTATAATATTTCTCCTAATTAATCAATAAACTAGAACGTTATTTTATCAGAAACAAACATATTTTGAAATACTGTATAATTGTTAAGCATAATAAACGACACATTTATATTAATACACTAAATGTAGCTGTGTTTCGTTCATATTGTTTGTTTTTATGTCAGATTCGATATACCAACAAGAGACAATTGAGAAAAATCGAAATATTTTCTTTTTATTAAATAGAATGATCTCAGCAAAGCACATGCATATGACACAAAAATAATATAAATTATAAATCAAAAGTTTTTCAATTCCATATAAATATTTGCTGTCACGAAATTGCTGTCATAGTGTACTGTTTTTCTTCGTTGTTTTATCTCCAGAAAGGTTCAGGCCCTGTACCTTGGTCAATTTGATCACCCGTAGGAACACTTGGATCTTCTCGATTGACTCCGTGTACTTGGAACTCATGTTCTTGATTGATACTATCCGACTTGACCAATGATGATTGTTCCAGCAAATTTTCTAAGAGCATGTTCAGTTTCGTTAGTGTGCGTATGTCTCGTTGAGTCAGCGCCAAAGTTCGAGCTTCAACTTGATTATGGCAATTGTTGGCAACAGACAGAAGAAGGATAATGGCAAAACCAATGACGGCACCATTTGATACAAGATTAACTTGCATTGTTCACCAAATAAAATGTAATGATGAATCGTTTTATTACAATATTTTAATGGACGTTGCTTGAATAACCTCACTTTTATATACTTGCTCATCGAGAGAGTCATTTTTCCCATACTTATTTTTAACAACCTAACGACGTCAATTGTCCCCAACTTAACGCATAAGGGATGGGAAAAAACGACGTTATTTTTATAGCTTATGCATCATCATTATTACCCATATCACGATACTTACCTTTGTAAACATATGTGGGGAAAAAAAAGGTGATGTATACGAAGTGACAATATCAAAAATAGACTCGATCAATTACGTCAATAATGACAAACTTTTGAAAGAATCATCCATATCGATCAAAACGAATACTATTTTCAGACAGTAAATAATGACAACATAATATCTTTAAGACAGAACTGCCAAGATCAGTCTTGACTTTAGCTTTTTTAACAATCAATTTTATTGAAGTTAAAACAAATAAATTAATGCTTCCTTTTACTTTTTGATAAATTGTTTATAGTTATAAAAAGTTTTTTCGTCATCAGGAATTATAAAAGATCCTAGATACATTTAACTACTATGTATTAGACTGATTGTTTTCTTTCAAATGAGAAGAAGTTCGATTAGACATGAACGAATGATAGTTGATCTGTTATCAGTAGTAAAATCAGTTCAATACTTGATATTTATCTAAGGAGTTTTTTTCTCTAACTATTAGTAGTTACACTTATTAAATATATAAAAATCTGAAAATACTAAATATAATTTCAGTTTGAGTACAGCTAAAATATCGATATTTTAGCTAGCATACTGTTCTCTACACGATAAAAGATTGATTTAACACCATCTCGTATGAGAAATATCTCAAGTATATTGCTTTATGAATATTGTTAGGCAGTGGCGTAGCCAGGAATTTTTTACCATTGGGCCGTTTCCCAACTAAACTATTCTGAGGATTGGACAACAATGGACAATTAAAAACAATTGGATCACAATTTTTTAAAACTTATTGCCATCACAAAAACGAATATTTATTGAAGAGAGACTCGTGGTTCTCAAACTAAAAAGCGAGTTTACTACTGCTGCAGTTACGAAAAGTTCTGAAGATTCTTAGCCCCAATCGTTACTGCAGTCGAAAATGACTGCGTAATATTCATTTCAAATAAAGAGACATAAATATCTTTTGATGGGAGCATGGCAGAGATATGCGGTGTTCACCCTTGGAAGGTGGAGGTAACAATGCAATAAGTCCTG